TTTTATAAATATTTTTAGGTAGAAACGCTTGTACAAGAGGAAGATGCCCAACCATTAGATAAACCACTAATAGCACCTACTAGAAAAGCAAAGTTTCAAATAAAACAACAACAACTGCCTGAAACTACATATAGTATTGAATTTTTAGCAGATATGATGGATGCACCACATCTTATTAGAAATGTAGTTTTGCTGGGACATCTTCATCATGGCAAAACTACTTTGGTCGATTGTTTGGTACAACAAACGCATCCTTATTTACACAGTATAACCGACGAGAAACCACTGAGGTATTATTATAAAGATTTATTTGTTAAACTAGTTATTTAAAAAAAATTAATTTTTGTTTATTGTGCTATTTAGATATACGGATACATTATTTACCGAGCAACAAAGAGGTGTCTCCACAAAAGCTACTCCTGTCACTCTTTTGCTACAAGATGTTAAATCTAAATCATATCTTTTAAACATATTTGATACATCCGGCCATGTGAATTTTTCTGACGAAGCAACAGCTGCAATCAGACTGTCCGATGGTGCGATATTAATTGTTGACGCAGCAGAAGGAGTGATGCTGAACACTGAACGCCTACTGAAGCATGCAATTCAAGAAAAGCTTGCTTTGACAGTTTGTATAAACAAGATAGATCGTTTGGTGTTGGAATTAAAACTACCACCTTTGGATGCTTACTACAAACTGCGGCATATTATTGAAGAGATCAACGGATTAATAGCACTATACTCTTCGGATACTGAGAATTCTGGCTTTGTGTCACCTGCTATAGGAAATGTTTGTTTTGCTAGTTCTGAATATAATGTATGCTTTACTTTGAAATCGTTTGCCGCACTCTATGCTAGGAACTATCCTGGACTAAATGCCAACGAATTTGCCAAACGGCTCTGGGGTGATATTTATTTTAATCCTAAGACACGGAAGTTTACCAAGAAACCACCTCATAATACTGCACAGCGAAGTTTTATTGAGTTTATTCTAGAACCTCTGTATAAGATATTCGCGCAAGTCGTCGGTGATGTAGACACAACATTACCTGATGGTAAATTTCTCTTTTTTTATTTTTCATAATCCTTATAGTGATTTGAAGAATTATTTTATATATATATATACACACACACGCACGCACGCACACACACACACACACACACACACACACACACACACACACACACACACACACACACACACACACACACACACACACACACACACACACATATTTCATGTGTAGTTCTGGACGAACTCGGTATACGATTAACATCCGAGGAAATGAAGATGAATATACGACCATTACTGAGACTTGTCTGTACACGATTCTTAGGCGATATGTGCGGATTAGTGGACATGTGTGTCACTCATGTACCTAGCCCGCAAGTACATGCACCCACTAAAGTACAGCATGTCTATACTGGTCCGATAGATTCGCCTCTTGCGCAGGATATGATTAATTGTGATCCTGATGTTAGTATTTTAATTTCAATATTATTATTTAATTAATATAATTATATCAATAACATCAATAATGAGAATGTTTTATTAATGAGAAACGAAAAATTTTAACTTTATATTTCATTAGTTAGCTTTATGATAAATTGGAGAAACTAATTTCAAAAAAAATCCCATATTAAGACTTAGAAATTCATTTAATATTACAAACTTCACTTATTTTAATATAATATGTTATAGATATATTTTATAAGAATTTTTTTTTGTAGGGGAGATTGATGATCCATAGTACAAAAATGTATCCAACTGAAGATTGCACCTTATTTGTAGTTCTTGGTAGAATAATGTCTGGTACATTGGAAGCAGGACAACGTGTTCGCGTATTAGGTGAAGCATATTCACGCACAGATGAAGAAGATTCGCGTGTTCTGACAGTAGGTAGATTGTGGATTAGTGAGGCGCGTTACTCAATTGAGTTAAGTCGCGTGCCTGCGGGTAATTGGGTTCTTATAGAGGGTATTGATCGGCCGATCGTAAAAACTAGCACAATCACGGATCTCAACAACTCTGAAGAGTTGCACATCTTTCGGCCGCTCAAGTTTAACACGCAAAGCGTTATCAAAATTGCCGTCGAACCAGTGAATCCATCCGAGTTACCAAAGATGTTGGATGGTTTGCGAAAAGTAAATAAGAGTTATCCACTGCTGGGCACGCGAGTGGAGGAAAGTGGCGAGCATGTTGTGCTAGGAACTGGCGAACTTTATCTCGACTGTGCAATGCATGATCTACGTCGTATGTATTCTGAGATCGATATAAAGGTGGCCGATCCGGTAGTTGCTTTTGCAGAAACCGTTGTAGAAACCAGTTCCCTCAAATGCTTTGCCGAAACACCAAATAAACGAAATAAATTGACGATGATAGCGGAACCGCTTGAAAGAGGGCTTGCTGAAGACATAGAAGCCGAACATGTTCGTATTACATGGAACAAGTAAGTAATCACATAAGAAATCGATATGAATATATTTAACATTATTATACTATATATTGTGTCTGTGTGAAAATTAATAAAAAAACTGAGAAAATATTTATTATTATTAACATTATTTTTTTTTTTTTTTTTCAGAAAGAGATTAGGCGAATTTTTCCAAACGAAATATGATTGGGATTTATTAGCAGCGCGAAGTATATGGGCATTTGGTCCTGATTCTACAGGACCTAACATTTTGGTGGACGACACATTGCCTTCTGAAGTAGATAAAACATTATTGAACAGCGCCCGCGATGCGATCATCCAAGGCTTTCAATGGGGAACTCGTGAAGGTCCGTTATGTGAAGAACCTATCCGGAATGTGAAATTCAAAATTCTTGATGCAGTCATTGCGCAAGAGCCATTGCATAGAGGAGGTAATTAGCATATAATATACACAGCATTAGCATATAATATATACATAACATATAATGTACAATATTAATTTATAAATCAATATACAATATAAAAGATATATCGAGAAAATAAAATAAATCGAAAAAGTTTATATAATATTCATAAATATTTTACTTAAAAAAACATAAATAAAGACGCAATTATATAAAAAGGATATGCAATTCTTGTTTAAAAACATATTAAATTTTGAAAAATATAAAATAGAGTAAAGTATACAGTAAATATATGGTACATATATTTACTAAATCAACACTTAAATTTAGAAAAGATAAACCATCAAAATAATAATGAGTCCCTGTCATATGGAATTTCATTAAATTTATCTTCTCATTTTCTGAATTTTTTTTTCTTTATTTTGATGATTGTACTAATGGTCAATCATTGTCATTTTTCTATTTAATAACTGTAAAATTTGTGGTTAATAATTATCATTTTTGAATACAAGTTTCTACTGTTAAAAAATGAAAAACATGGTCTTATTCAAAATTTTTGTATTTAAAATATTCTTTAAACTTTACTTAACGTTCGCTTTGCATCAAATTCAAATTTCAAATAATTTTAATAGTGATTATATTAACTTTTAGCACTTAAGTGATCAATCACTGTATACTTTATCCTATTTTATAAAATTCATAAGAAAGAATTCTTAAAAAAAAAAAGTTTATATTTATGATCTTAAATTTAATTTTTCAGAAAATACTTGAAGTATTTACGTATAATTACAAATATATATTCTAAAAATGTTAACCATGCTAGAAACTAAATTGAAAGCTTTATAAAGGAAAACTGCAATTTCTATAATTTGCACATATTAATTTTATTAATTTTATTTTATGCTTTCAGGTGGTCAAATCATTCCTACTGCTCGACGTGTCGCATATTCAGCTTTTCTCATGGCGACTCCACGATTGATGGAACCATATCTGTTTGTTGAGGTACAAGCACCCGCGGATTGCGTGTCCGCTGTTTATACTGTTCTGGCGAAACGGCGAGGTCACGTAACACAAGATGCCCCAGTTCCAGGCAGTCCTTTGTATATAATCAAAGCCTTCATACCAGCGATCGACAGTTTTGGCTTCGAAACGGATTTACGAACGCATACTCAAGGCCAAGCGTTTTGCCAATCTGTTTTTCATCATTGGCAGATTGTACCTGGAGATCCTCTGGATAAGAGCATTAACATGAGACCGTTAGAACCACAACCAGCCACTCATTTGGCCAGAGAATTTATGCTGAAAACGCGAAGACGCAAGGGACTATCCGAGGATGTATCCATCAACAAGTTCTTCGATGATCCTATGTTGCTCGAGTTAGCCCGGCAGGATGTGTTGCTAAATTATCCCCTCTAATTTACTAAATATATATACTATGTATATCAAAATGACTTCAAGTATAAGTACATTATCATACATTAAAGTTTCTTTCTTCTTCTTAAAGGAAGATATGTATGCATGGTTTTGAATATTAATTCTATATTTTCTTCTACATCAAACCCTCATATCCCTTTAATGAAACAAAAAATAATTATTGATATAATTTAATTCATTATTATTTTATAATTTGTTTGCTCGTTGTCAAAATTAAAAAAATGAAGTTGTTAAAGTAAAAAGGCTGTAAAAGGCTGTAAAAAAAAGAATTAGAAAATTTATCATCTATATTCAAAGAATAAAGGTTTAGGAACTTTTAGAGGTTAACATTCAATTCTCATCTTGTAAATACATGTAATTTTGTAGACAAAACATTATTCTATTGGGAGTACAAATAAGTTTCCGCCGCAAAAGACGGCGCCACTAATAAACTAGTTAAAATTGTTTGATGTAAAACGACATCGTAAGATTGGACATCTGGCAACACCATAACCTTGAAATATTAGCGATTTTGTATCATATATTTTTTTTTGTACGAAAACGTCGAGTTTTGAGTCGAATAAGCGTCATTTGCGGGAACTTTTAATTTACTTCTTTAATTTGAAGAAATCTGCAGCTGAAGCTCATAGATTGCTTGTAGATTGCTTGTAGGCTCATAGATTGCTTGTAGATTGCTTGTAGGCTCATAGATTGCTTGCATATGGTGATGCTGCATTAAGTGAGAGTTGTCGTGAGTGGTTTTAAAAGTTTAAGAACGATGAATTTGACGTCGAAGACAAAGAACGTAGCGGAAGGCCGAAAGTGTACGAAGACGCGGAATTGGAAACATTATTGGATGAAGATTCGTGCCAAACGCAAAAAGAACTTGCACTTACATTAGGAGTGACTCAACAAACAGTTTCATATCGTTTGAAATCATTGGGAATGATTCAAAAGCAAGGGAATTGGGTTCCATATGAACTGAAGCCGAGAAACGATGAATTGAATGATGAACCAATTTTTCACATGTGAAATGCTGCTTGCCAGGCATAAACGAAAGGGTTTTTTGCATCGTATAGTCACTGATAATGAAAAATGGATCCACTGTGATAACCCAAAGAAGGAGCCATGCTTCAACATCGACAGCTAAGCCGAATATTCATGGAAAAAAACTCATGTTGGTGGGATCAGCTTAGTGTCGTGTATTATGAGTTGCTCAAACCGAACGAGACCATTACTGGGGCTCTCTACCGAACACAATTGATGAGATTGAGCAGAGCACTCAAGGAAAAACGCGCCCACTACTACTCCAGACATGACAAAATTATTCTCCTGATAATGCTCGACCACATGTTACGGCGCCGGTCAAAACTTACTTAGAAACACTCAACCACTCATGTTCTATTCCACTCGCCGTATTCTCCAGACTGCTCCTTCCGACTATCACTATTTCAATCGATGACGCATGACCTGTCTGAAGCAACACTTCACATGAAGATATCAAAAATTGTATCGGTGATTGGATAGCCTCAAAAGATGAAGCGTTCTTCCGAGGCGATATCCACATGGTAAGTAAATCCACGATATCCCAGAAAGATGGGAAAAAGTAGTGGCTAACGATGGCCATTACTTTGAATAAAACATTATGTACCGTTCTTTCACAATAAATGCTTAATTTTTGATTAAAAACGGCGGAAACTTATTTGTACTCCCAATACTATATGTTTAATATTGATAATGACCCCCGATCGGAGTCGAAATCATTTTAATGTAATCTATTTGCATCAGTACATAGTTATCCACTAAAAGATTGCAACACTTTTTTTTAATGGGTTTCAGAATGCCCTCTGCTCATCGAGCGATTGGTTCTTATTTATGGATCTGTAGGTAAAAATCAATCGCTCGATGAGTATGTAGGCTGCATTCCAAAAACCATAGAAAAAAATCTGTTGCAATCTTTTAGTCAGCGAGTGTATATTAAATTTATTATTTTGATTCGTAGCCCTTAACATACTTTTATTTAATTTCATTACTTGAGTCATATCATATTATTATAATATCGAATCTTAAATTCCATGCTTTCCAATATATAGATACACAGAAATACTGCGTAATCTCAAATCGAGAGGGACTCAACGTTCTTGAGAACGTTTGGTTTTGCAAATCAGAGACATCCTATTTCATCTCGAAAATTTGGCAACTCGTATCTTTTTACTACATGTCATCTCATCTGCGTTCGATATTAACATTTCTGGAGCCAATCGAGCTGTTCTATCCGATCTATATCGAATCTATTCCGAATTTAACCGAGCTCGCAAAATTAATGCAGGTTTTCGCGCCTAAATTAAATTCATTCACATAATTTGTATATTTATGATAGTGTATCCAACTGATTCGTTAACACATATACTCTCATCTCTTTTAATACTTCTATTTTACAAATAGTGTATTTGAACTGTTATAATGTCTAGCTTGTGAATCTAAACTCACATTCTATCGAATAGAAATTGACGGAGTACATTATACAATATTTAACGAGGAAAGTAAGTTTTTAATTTTTTTCTTCTTTATAAATTTGAGCTTACGTATTTGAAAACAAAGAATTTGTTAGTTAATTTTTAGATCAAAGCTTATGTGGTATATATGTATAGGGTGAAATAAAATTTACATTGCTGAATTTAAACGCATCTCTCGAAGATACTGGAAGATACCTACATAGCGACGGACGCGAGAAAGTTGCGCGTCGCATCATCGCATTGCTTGCGCACGCGGCGGGCGGAGCTACAGCTGATTGCAGCTGCGCGTTATTAAATAGGCGGGCTCGATGGTCGGAGTTAGGCGCCATTTTAACATTCTTGTGCATTCCCATCTATCCGCCCATAGGCCAGACTGGTACCCGCCCGACCGACGCGTGCGTCCGCGTGCGCGCGCGCAAAGCCGCCCGGTCGTCGCAGCCGATCGTGCAATCTTCGGCTACGATGCTATTGCAAACGATCGATCACCCCGAGTACTCTGACGTCCCCTTTCATCCCCCCTTCTCCTCCCTCCGCTCCATCCTTCACCTACACGCAACAATCGCGCGATCCGACGCACCCTTCACTATTTCTACGCGATTCAGCTTCTATAATGCGGATTAACTTCTTGTGGTAGGGATATAGCCAAGTAGTATATTTTTTGATGGATTTTTGATTATTTGATATAATGCGTTTTAACGTTTTTTTATTTGATATAATAATCAGGAATGGAGACTTGACTTTTTTTCTGAATGTGGAGTATCCAAGGGGGAGGGAGATAATTTCAAAATAATATAAATATTTTATCTCTTTTGTTGTATTATATATGTGCGAAATATACATATTTCTACATATACATATACACCCTAGTCATAAATACTGTTATTTGTTAAATCATTAAACATTTTTATTTGTCAAATTAACATATTTTTTTAAATACGTATTTTGGGTGTGGAATTCAACATCCTGGATGTAGAAAACTTCATACTGTAGAAAGATCCTAAAAGTAGAGATCGGCCAATGTCAACTTGATTCGTGATTGACACTGTCATGTTGTTGTGAAACAGATGTGAGAATGAGAAAAGCGAATATGAGAGTATTCATAGTTAAACTTTGTACTTAAGGCTTCTTTAAATTTATCTTTAGATGTTCAGTAGCCAATGAAATAATTCGTAGAGTATCTAAAGATAAATTTAAAGAAGCCGTAAATATAAGGCTTGATTGAAATACGAATATAAGCGACATCACACTGAGAAAAATGATTTTGTTATAAGAACAAATCAAGGGAAAGCAAATGTGATATTTGTTAAAAAAAAACGATCGATTTGTTACGATTGCAAATTAATTCGTCTGTAACAAATAATCAATAGCTAGCAAATAAGAGGCTTATATATATATATATATATATAA